ACCTGCACATCCCTAGGCACTATGGGACAATTTCCCACGGCCAAGCCACCCTAACCTGCACATCCCTGGACACTATGGGACAATTTCCCACGGCCAATCTACCCTAACCTGCACATCCCTGGACACTACGGGACAATTTCCCACGGCCAATCCACCCTAACCCGCACATTTGGGACCGAGGAAACCGGAGCACCCGGAGGAAACCCCATAGATGTGGAGAGAATGTGTAAACTCCACACAGACAGTCAGTCGCCCGAAGGTGGGATTGAACCCGGGTTCCTGACATTGTGAGGCAACTGTGCTAACCACTGAGCCACCTTGTTACCCTTAAATATATCCGTAACGGCCACATTTAAGAAACCTGGTTGGCATGGACAAGTTGGGCCGAAGGGCCTGTTTCTGTGTTGTATGACTCTATGAGGGCTGACCCCTTGTAAAACAACACGGTATGTCTCTGGCCCATTCTGCAGGGTCATTGGACGGTTGTTTGGATAGAAATGGTGTGAAGCGATATGGGGTGGGGTGGGGTGGGGTGGGGTGGGGCGCAAGAGATCGGCATGAGGGGGCTAGAGCTGGGGCATGCACAATGGGCTGATTGGCCTGTTTCTGCACTGTAGCCTGTCATTATGCCTTACAGGTGGGTGACAGTATATCCATTTAAGAGAATAAAATAAAGAACTGGAGAAGCTGAAAATTCCGAAACAAATACAGAAATAGCTGCACCTTATCCAGGCAAGTGGGGGAGTATTCCATCACACTGCTGACTTGTGTCTTGTCTAAATTCTCTAAATGCTCCTTATTGGTCTTCTCCGTTGTTAGCACGTCGTCTGGATAAATGGCGACCTGGGGGTAGACCTTGTAAAACGTTCTCCACTGTCCACTGAAAAATGGCACAGGCTGACGATACCCCAGATTGCAATCTCGTATATTGGTACTAATTGTAGCATTCCTCTGAGAATCCTCAACTGACTGCAATGGCAAATAGTGGCACGATGCTAGAAATGCTTACCCCGACTCAAATACCGACATTGCGAGCGAGTTTCTTCAGGAGCGTACTATTCTCTCCTTGCCACTGAAAGTAACTGCACAGAGGCCGGTAATCAGCCACCCTTTATTTACACGTGGAGAGTCCTTGACACTAATCCAGCTTGCTCAGAGCCAGGAACAGAACCCCTTGACCCTCCTGTTTATATCTGTCAGCCAGGGCTCCCTGATCGAACCAGGTTTACAGTTCCAATCAGGGAACACAGATTCTGAGGGGTCCACCCGGCTGACTCAATACAATCACTACAAGATAGGAATGAAATTGCAGAGACTGTTGCATAACAAGAAATGATGATTACAGTCACTCTCAATAGAAAACACTCTTACAACTTTAGTGAAAACTTGTCAAAGGAGAAAACACAAGACAAAATGCTGTGCTCCAGTTGCAACATAAATAAATCCAGCAGGGGCCTAGTCTTATTTTAGTCAATTGATGGTCTCTTTATTACATTTCTACTTCGGCTGTACCTTCATTCATTCACCAATCAGAGAAAAATACACAATTTCTTCGCGCTATCAGTTAAGTTTGGAATACCTTGAAATTATTTTGTTCAGCTTCTGAACAGCGTATTGAATGAAGGATGTTAAAGAGAGTGTAAAGGAGACTTAAAAAAACACTGTGGGGACTGAGGGATTTCGGAGAGAAGGGACAATTCGCGAGACTGAACTCATTCGCATTGGATCAGAGAAGATTAAGAGGTGACCCTCACCAAGGTGTCCAAATGATGAGCAGTTTTGACAAGGTAAAGAAGGATATTCTTTCAGAAGCCAGGATGGACATGATGAATCGAACAGGCTCCTTCTATACAGTAAAATTCTATGATGTGGTGGGGTATGTCAGAGTGTCCAATTGAGGGCTGTGGGGTATATCGGTGTGTTACAGTGAGGGCTGTGGGGTATATCGGTGTGTTACAGTGAGGGATGTGGGATATATCGGTGTGTTACAGTGAGGGGTGTGGGATATATTGGTGTGTTACAGTGAGGGGTGTGGGATATATCGGTGTGTTACAGTGAGGGGTGTGGGATATCTCGGTGTGTTACAGTGAGGAGTGTGGGATATATAGAGTGTTACAGTGAGGGGTGTGGGATATATGGGTGTGTTACAGTGAAGGGTGTGGGGTATATCAGGGTGTGTTACAGTGAGGGATGTGGGGTATATCAGACTGTTACAGTGAGGGGTGTGGGGTATATCAGAGTGTTACAGTGACAGGTGTGGGATATATAGTGTTACAGTGAGGGGTGTGGGGTACATTGGTGTGTTACAGTGAGGGGTGTGGGGTACATCGGTGTGTTACAGTGAGGGGTGTGGGGTATATCGGTGTGTTACAGTGAGGGGTGTGGGGTATATCAGAGTGTTACAGTGTTGAATAAAACTTCCGTAGCTTAAGGTACAGGATTCTCTGGTGTGGGTGACACACTGGGTTGAGTTAATTCCTCCAAATGATACACTAACACCACCCACCCACCTCCTTGCTCATGCATGTGGCATCCTGGCCAGAGATGTGAAATTTCAAAGTAAACATAGTTACACTGTACAGAGGCCAGGGAATGTCTGGGAAAGTCTGTAGGTGCAGAGACTGAAAGGAAGACAGTTCAATTAGGTCTCTTGGCATCTGAAGGCAGCACATTTCCCGATGTCGTGTCCAGGCGGCCGGGCAAGTTTTTGAGAAAGGCAGGGTGTGCCAACCCTCGGGACTGCAGGAGCGGCCAAGTCGGTGGGAAGGAGCCACAATGTGTTTGAGAATAGGAAGATCCCACTTTGTGAGAGACGACCTGAGATCATTTTCTGTCCCACTCCTGTCCGGTTTCACGCCACCTAAAAGCTGATGTCTATCTGTAACTTGTTCTCAAACAGGGCGATGCAGAGCATGGTCCCAACACCGAGCACGAAGCCGAGATTCTGACTGAGAAACGTCCCGAGTGGACTGTGCTCCCTGCTCTCTGTCTGCACGTGTATCATGTCTGGGAGCTGCGCACAGAAACCACAATCATTACCGTCAGAGCCATCCCCACGACAGATGTATTTCATAGCAATTCCCTGTTATTCAGCCCCCTCTCCTCGAGCCTGTCACACAGGGAACAGCAGGAGG